TGAGGTTGCCTGAGCTTCACCGCGGCCGCGGGCCATCCCAGTACGGGGCAGTTGGCGGACGCACAGGACAGCTCCAATCTATACCCACTAGGGGCGGGCGAGTGGGAACGCAGACGCTCTAGCTGACGGAGCTGCCCGGCCCACTACGGGTGGGTGAGTGGGAACGCAGACGTTCTAGCTAACGGAACTGGCCGGCCCACTAAGGGTGGGTGAGTAGGAACGCAGACGTTCTAGCTAACGGAGCCTCCCGGCCCACTAAGGGTGGGTGAGTGGAACGCAGACGTTCTAGCTAACAGAGCTGCCCGGCCGTTAACTACTTTCTGGTAGAGAAAACAACCCAGAAGGAAAAAAGTACTCAATTGTATTGAACTCTCACAACGAAGATACCTTCTCCGCGGATCCGCACGCCGCGGATCCAAGGAACTCCAAAACTTGCCAGAATTATCATATCGCTGAGAGGGAAAGGGCAACAAAGCCTTAAGACGAATGAGTAGGGTTTGCCACAGCGTTTTATGTGTATTTCATTTAAGGCGATTTTCGGTAGGCCTTAAACAGAACAAAGAAAAACTTTGTTGTCACCAGCCGATCAGACTGTCTTTTTCTCGGAGTCTACATCGAGCATAATACCACGCAGAAGAAATGGACCGAGCAAAAATAAAGTCGACTGTTGAAACCCTGGCAGGATATTCAAGGGCACGCTCATGACCAGCTCATACGCACCACCCGGGACGAACAACCGCCACCTCAATGTTGTCTCCAACATTGCGCACCAATGCAGCATAGGCAAGTTCTCCAACTATCCCGGTTTAAAACAAAAATGTTAAAAGCCACAGCGAATGTAAGGCAGTTAGCATGACACTCCTACACGTGTAAACGGCGCGATCAATGTGAGTTATCGGCGAAAAATTAAGCCAGCTGGGAGCTGGACGTAGAGAGAAGTGGTGGGAAAACCTCAAGTAACAAAGCTGCCTCAAACAAAAACCATGTGGTCCAGCATTTAATTGGGAACTTCCCTGGTAATGCACCGTTGTGCTGATGGCTAGCAGCGAAATCTAGCCAAGGGGATTTTAACACTGAAATATTGTCGAGCAACGCGACACGAACTTACCCGAGGCAAAAAGCATATCTGAACAACTATGAAGCAAATACCAGCACAGTTTAAACCCCTCGTTTCAGTCCTCAAGTCCCTGTTAACAGTTTAGCAAGCAAAATCAACGCTGACGTAGGCAAACGAAAGCGAAAAAGACCTGTGAGGTCCCCACTTTCGGGGTAGGGCGTGCCGGAGCGAGTCCCTAGTAATCATGCGAACTGACAGCTGAGAGCTTCAGCTGAGAGCCTCAGTGACTACTGAGAGCCTAAGGGATAGCCATAGCTGAGAACCTCAGTGACTCCATGGGTGGCCCAAGCGACGCGGAGCGAGCGCGGTATCCAACGTCACAGTTTCGGTCGTCGGCTTTCGCTGTCATTGGTTCGGAGGCCCGCCGCACTGGTCAGTTGCCCCAGCTACACCGCACAGTTAAATGGCCATACATGGTGGCCGGCCACGAGCAGATGGGTGCTGGCCATTCAACGGTGGTCTCACCCAGCGGCTGGACATGGCGCCGCTCCGCCTCGCTTGTCTGCTCTGCTGGGCGCTGCTGGCCGGCGCCACACTCTACCGCAAGGAGGCTCCGTCTCACGGTACGAGCTTGGAGCTGGCGCGAGCCGCCGCCGACAGCGTCTCGCAGTGCGCGCTCCACTGTCAGCTGGCGGGCGGCGGCAACGCCTGTGTCGGCTTCCACCACTCGGCGGCGGCGTGTCGACTGCTGTCCGGCCTGTACCCGGGCCTGGCCGACACGTACGTGCGCTACCCTCCGCCGGGCTATACGGCCTGCGGCCGCACCGCCTACCGCGTCTACCCGCCCATGTCACGTGACGAGGCGAAGGCGACGTGCGCGGCGGCCGGCGGCCGGATGGCTATACCGCTGACGGCCGAGGAGCGGGCCTGTGTGCAGCAGCTGGTGGACGAAGCCGGCGCCACGCCCGGCTTCAACCCTGACAACGTGGACTACGAGAACATCGCCTACCTGGGTGTACTGGTGCATGGTCCGGGGCCCGACTACTCCACCACCGACCTGAACAACCAACCGCTTACACTGCCGGCTGGGGTTTGGATGGCTGGCCAGCCCAACGACAACCGAGAGCTGGCGTACGTCACTCTGGTGGACCAGCAGTATACCGACTGGCACTCCTGGGGCATTCTCATGAACGTGTGTGAGATTCTGCTGTCCGGGTAGAAGCGGCCGGTAGACCCCTGCGAATATGCATCTTTGACGCTTTCTCATCTGTTCACCGGCACGCCCCAGGGGCACCGGTGGCATCCTCCCATGATCTGGCAGCGATCGGCACTGCAGCATTGATCTCATTACTGGGCATGGACCAATGGCGCGCCGGCGTTACAGCTCAACGTCGTTGTATATATCAGCGAGTTCTCTCCATGCCTCCAGCTAGGTAAACGCTTCTCGAGAGAAGCAAAATGGATAAATGAAGACCGGTTGTGTTTGGCGTTTACGTTTTGATTTGAAGCTCTGTCTAATCAATCCATCAACAGCAGTCAGAGTGATTTAATCCAACACACTCTATCAAGTATCAACTGAAGCCGAAGGTATTGAATCCAATACACTCCATCAACAGAGTTTTTAAACCCAAAATATTCTATCAAGTATCAACTGAAGCCAGAGGCATGGAATCCAATGCACCCCATCAACAGCAGTCAAAGTTATTGGACCCAATACACTCTATCAAGTATCAACAGATGCCAGTGATTGAATTCAATACACATCAACAGCAGTCAGAGTTATTCAAATATAATTATCTAACCCTGATATAGGCAATAAAAGTCATGGCTTATGTTTTCGATATTGTGAGTACGCATGCCGAAAATAGTCGACTTTCAAGACAATAACTGACCATCGGCACTGATGTGAATCTCGGGCATTTTCAGCGTTCCATTCAGCGCTCGTTCCGTTTGTTTGACCAAAGCCTCTGTGCATGTTACAGTTTGGTTACTTTGAACATACAAATTCGTCACAGTCATTATCACCTTTTCCGCTTGGCTTGGCTGCATTCGAGGCACAGTATATATGTGCATACCAATCGGGTGATTAAGATATGTGACGAAATCAATCAGATCGGTTACCTTAGCACTTCCCGAAGCTGGCATGCTTCGCCCATATCACAGCTATTTCATACACATGCCACACATAGGTAAACACTACGTCACAACGTTGACGTGAAGGTGCGGATAAGAATGCGATAAAGCAGCTAGCAATGGGCCGCGAAGGGCCGAGCCGAAAACGGATTCATGTCAAATTACTCAGAAGGGGGGACTCCAAAACACTTACGACAAAATCACGCTGAAAAATAGAGGCAGGTGCCTCTGATAGGCCCAGCGCCAAGTGGCCAGCGCAAGTCGCCCAGGTGGTGTGACGGTTGGGTTACCGGTTGTTCCAAACGGGCGGCGGACGTGGGTTCCAAGAATGCGAGTGTGACTGCCAAGTACGTCTGAGCTAAGTCATCCACGCTTGCGGGGCATCACGCCATCCCGAGGTACCCAACCCAACGCTGGCCGCGGAGGCAGCGTCCCGGCTTTCGCAATGCTTCTGAGGACCGAGCGGGGCTTCGTCAGTGCTTGTCGCCAAACTGCGCCACATCGATCTTAGTCAGGACTGTTGCGCGTGTTGGACTGAATTGTGCGATCTGCTTGATTTCGGATATGGTCGCTGCTTTGTCGATTTGCCTATTTATCTATTTCGCTGCATTCAGAACGACCTAAACATCTGCCGCCGCACACAAACTTCCGCCAAATAGGTGGTTCCAAAGCTTATCAAACCTTATCAATAGTCATCATTATCATTCACCTGCTCTTATTGTTGCATTGCATTATATCACTCACTGCTATTAATTACGTTGAGTTTTATTATTCACTTGAGCCTTTCTCAACACGTTGTGTTAACAACGAACACACATCTGGGGCGTTGCTCAGCGCGACCCTCGTCCTCGACAGTTTGCTGTCCAACGTCAGCCCTACCCCATGAGGGCTTACCTGAGTACATCTCAATTTGGCCTTCAAAAGTTCAACAAGTTCATTTAGACACGTTCGACTAAAATCATTAGCCAATGGTCATCAAAAGCTAAATACTGAACATAAAACGAAAGCTTTTTGCCGGTAACTATTTGGACCTGTCAGGCGAGCGCCGCCTGACAGCACCTGGCGCCGGAAGCGCTGGTGAAGAGCGCCGGAAACAGCCAGTGCGCGTCCTCCCCACAGCTGAGCAGTTTTGGACGGACATCGCGCCCGTTCCAGATACAGGTGACCTTTGCAACGTGACACAATGCGACGCCGCGAACTCCCTGGGCTCTTCATGAGGCGGTCGCGGAACGTATGACGTTCGCGAGGCCTGGACAAACCGGCACAAAGAGCGGAATCGCGACGCTAAAACGATGACTTTTGCTCCATGCTCACATTGAAAGGCACCTTTCACTCCATGCGCACATTGATACGTAGGCTACATGCATTCAGAAGCGGTCCATAATAGGCCTGCGGTGGTTTGCACCGGCCGTGAATGCCGTGGCAATTCCAGGCAAACAAAGCAGCACAAAGGCGCAAGCACAGAAATGCAAAATCATACAAGAGGACATTGCAAACTCAAACCTGGGCATAAACAGATTGCAATGTCGCATTAGCCGGTGTAAAATCAATGCAAGTAAGCTACACCAGCCGCACGGCACCAACCAGCCGACAACGCGTCAAACCACACAGCGCGGGGATCAGCTGAAACGGACGAAAAGTAAAAGCGCGGATGACCCAGCCACTGGCCGGCTGTAGCTGGGAGTGCGCTGGGAGCGGATGGGCCCGCGTGACCCGACTGCGCCCGTGCCATGAGCAAGAAGCGCGAGCGTGCAAGTGCGACAGCGAGCGAGCGAGCGAGCGAGGGCGCCTGGCAGGGGCCATGTCCAACCTTGATATCCGGCCAGCGGGAGGGCTGCGGGCCGACCTGCGTGTGCTACAGGGGGAGACGGGGCGGTCAGAGCGGCGCGCGGCCGCCGGCGCTGCACGCCAGCCGGCCGGCCGGCGGGGCGGCGCCGGCCCGCCGCGTACCGGTCACGCCACTCCCAGCAGCACCTAGGCGTCACGGACCGGGCGGCGCTCAGCGCTCGTGAGGCGGGCTGACAGGCAGCGATCGGGGATGACGAGCTCCTGCTCCAGGCGCTGCCACATGACCAGACTGCTGGCGAATGCTACGAAAAGGTGGCTTCATGGCACATTAGCGAAGATGGAGCTTTCTGAAAGCTGTCACGGAGGCACGCACGGAGCTGACGTTAATTCTCTGTTGACAGCGCTCGCCTCGATATACAAACGAATCATTCAGGGACACACGACTCATCGAAAACGTGGAGACGTTCCATGCATGCATATTGTACACAAAGTAATCAACTACTACATGCAACTGCGTATGTGTCTAATGCCAGCCAGAGAGTACGAAATCAGTCTAATATCGCAGAACTAAACAAGCATCTCAAATGCTTAAAGGCCTCTACGCATGTACCATTAGCACAGACAATTGAGCGTGGTGGGTTTTAAGACCTACAGACTAGGCAGAACGTTCCGTTACAAATGATGCAATGTGTTGTTTGCCTCCAACGTGTTACGTAAAGCTGTTTTGTCAGTTTTGCGTATGGCTGCTAACGGACACGGCTTGAGCCAGTCGCAGGGTCAACAGCCCAGCTCCACAATGGCAAGTGTGGCGTGTGCGAGCCTTGGTCAGCCCGATCGCACACCCGTCTGTCCCGTCACAGCTCATACTGCAGCCGACTACCGTACGCCAACACCCATCATGCCGGGGTAGCCTGCCGCAGCCAGTCTCGGCGCGTCTCTCCACATCATCCGGCGCTGACTCGGTCCAGCTCAGCGTCACGCCAGGCGCGGACCGAAGCCGCTCCGCCCTGCGAGAGGCACATCTCGCCACAGCCGGGGCTTCGTGCCAACCCTGGATCGGCTGACAGCGGCGCCCTTCGGACCTCTCCTCGCCTTCCCCGCCAAGGACAGGCGCGGCCACCCACCTGCGCCAGGTCCACCAGGTCCTCGAAGCCGGCGGCGAAGTCGTCGAAGCTGCGGAAGGCGGCCATGCAGCCGATGCGGTCGCAGGACTCGCGCTCGGCCGAGAGCAGGTGGTGCGCGCCCGGCTGCTCCAGCTTGCCGCTCAGCCTGTCGCGGAGGGGAGCGCTCTGAGGTCGCGGTCACGGACCGTCCCCCCTCCCTCCCACGGTTGGCGGCGGCCAGGCCCAGTGGCTCTTCAACATGTTAGGACAGTCGATGACGTTGCAAAGCGATCGATAAAAATAATCAAAGTGTATCAATTGATAACGACACGCACGTCTGCCTACGGCCAATGAAAAAAGCGCGCGAGCCAGTCAAGGGCTCTGAGAAGAGGAACACCGACGTCTCTGCAATCGACTCACCATCGTCCGCCACCGGGTCAGACAAGAACATCGATGATAGCCGTGAACAGCGAAGCGCAGACAAGACGCTAAAGGATGTCAATTGAAGAAGACCGTAAGCTTGCAGCATGCAGCACTAAGAAACAACACACGAAAGAAGGCGGAAAACGAGTGACATAAAACGAGAAGCACAAACCCGAGCCGGGTGCGTACAAGCGTGGGCGCTGTGCAGCCATGCACAGGCGGCGGCGGCCGCCGCGCCGCTGCTGTTAGCGCGAGCTGCTGGCGGCCGGCCGCGGGGTACGGCGAGAGAGGCCGGCCGCGGCGGCCGAGCACAGCCACTAAGCACAGGTGGCCAACGGAGCTGAGCTCAATGGTCGCAGCAAATAACATGGCAAGGCATCCGCTTGAGACCTGCGACATCTCGGCCAATACTGATTGCCTGATGCACAAAAAGGAACGGCGCACAAATACTGGCTGACAACAGACACATCTCCTGCAAACACAACGCGCTTCGCTATAGCTCCCGTCTCTTCAATGCTGCAGGTATAAGCATAATGGACTGGGGGCGCACACAGCCCTGCACCATCGCCTCAGGCTGCATTTACTGACACCTGCTGGCTAGACGGCTTTACAGCTGCATCACTGCATGTACAGAAACCTGGCACCTGGAGAGCCTGGGCGGTGGGGGAGGTTCACAGGGAGCCGTGCGCCGCCCGCGACCGCCCCTCCCCCCTCCCCAGACCAGACCAGGCCAGGCCCCGACCGGCAGCGGCGGTGGCAACGCCAAAGGCCAGGCCTGCCACAGCCGCGCCCGGGAGCAGGTCACGCTCGGGCGGGCCTAACAGCCACCACCGCGCGTGATTCGCGAGGGTGACACGTGAACGTGTCGGCAAGCGGAGAAAGCCACCACCGGAAAGAAGCGAACGTGCTCCGAAGGGCACCATGCAAGTGCAGCGGTGAGACACCGACACCAGCCATCGTACAGAAAAGATCACACGGAAGGAAGAACGTGAAGTAGGGCGAAGAAAGACGACACGAAGGCAAGTGCGAAAATAAAGAGCAAAAGAAGAAGAGAGACAAGCAGCTCTGGCCGCAGGGCAGCAGCAGCCAGAAAGTCCGGAAATGAGCGGCGGCAGGCCCAGGCGAGGCAGCGGTGGAGACGGGGACAGAAGCAGGGGGCGAAGAAAGCCAGCGGTCGCCGCTCGCCCAGCCGCCCGGCGCCGAGCCAGCGAAAACGGCAGCCTTGGGAGGGCCAGCCAGCGGTCCCCAGCGAGCCTCGCCTCCAGCGAGAGCGGCAGCCGTGGGAGGGCCAGCCAGCGGTCCCAGCGAGCCTCGTCTCCAGCGAGAGCGGCAGCTGTGGGAGGGCCAGCCAGCGGTCCCAGCGAGCCTCGTCTCCAGCGAGAGCGGCAGCTGTGGGAGGGCCAGCCAGCGGTCCCAGCGAGCCTCGCCTCCAGCGAGAGCGGCAGCCGTGGGAGGGTCGGCCAGCGCTCCCAACGAGCCTCGCCTCCAGCGAGAGCGGCAGCCGTGGGAGGGCCAGCCAGCGGTCCCAGCGAGCCTCGTCTCCAGCGAGAGCGGCAGCCGTGGGAGGGTCGGCCAGCGGTCCCAACGAGCCTCGTCTCCAGCGAGAGCGGCAGCCGTGGCAGAGCCAGCCAGCGGTCCCAGCGAGCCTCGCCTCCAGCGAGAGCGGCAGCCGTGGGAGGGCCAGCCAGCGGTCCCAGCGAGCCCCGCCTCCAGCGAGAGCGGCAGCTGTGGGAGGGCCAGCCAGCGGTCCCAGCGAGCCTCGCCTCCAGCGGGAGCGGCAGCCGTGGGAGGGCCAGCCAGTGGTCCCAGCGAGCCTCGCCTCCAGCGAGAGCGGCAGCCGTGGGAGGGCCAGCCAGCGGTCCCAGCGAGCCCCGCCTCCAGCGGGAGCGGCAGCCGTGGCAGAGCCAGCCAGCGGTCCCAGCGAGCCCCGCCTCCAGCTGAGCGCCGGTCGGCCGGGCGGCCGAGCAGCGCGACGCCGCCGAGCCGGCGCCGTTACCTGAGCGCCGGCGCACTGCTGGAGCCGGCAATGTGGCCGGCCGCCCAGTGGTGGGCCGAGGGGAGGGGGGACGGCGAGCGCGGCCGCGCCAGCCCGCCGGCCGACAGCAGGCTGGTGGAGCTGGGTGTCGCCATCGGAGTCGATTTGGACACACTCAAACGTTTCAGGTTACGGTCGGCGCTGAAACAGAGCGGAGCGTGACGACAAGCGGACGGACGCAGGCGCACGCGTGAGACGACACGAGGACGCGGCGGCGAGGGTGGCGGCCGGCCCGGCGCCGCACGGCCCTCCCACCTGTTCGGGTGCGAAGTCGGCAGGAAGAAGCTGAAGAGCACCACGCAGATGGAGAAGCCGGCGTTGGATGGCAGCTCGAAGTGCTTGACGCAGGCCAGGTCGTAGGAGATGTAGGCTCGGCGTACGTACACCTGGGAGGGCACGGGTGGTGAGCGGGCAGGCAGGAGTCCGGTTGTCGGAAATGGAAGCCCACTGACCTCTGACATGTCTTTCGACATATATCAGCAGTTTCCAGGAAAGGTGACAACGAAAGTTCATCCCAACATCATGCGCACCCTCGACGTTTCTCGACGCTTCTTTGGTTCTGCTTGCTAGGCTCACATCTGTCAGCAACGGCGAACGGTTCACGACGTACTTCCAGTCCAGCACCCGACGCGTCCCTCGCCGTACTGTTATATGCCGATGCTTTGTCTATGGCAGCCTCTTCCCACCTTACAACAGGCATGCTTAGCTGCGCTGCGCTGCAGGCTATCGCCTACATTTGTCTCTTCTTTCTGCCAGGTGTGTTCGATGATGACGAAAATTCGAACATAAAGTTATGTGCTTTCGTTGACACAAGCACGGCATGTAAAATATAGAACGGTAAGTGTTAAGACAATTATAAAGATGCTGTCTGTGCAAGAATGGAGCAGGAATGCAAGCCATAGAAAAAGAGATAATCTATCATGAGAAAAGCATGCATCCCACAGACGACTGGGTCAATAAATCAATCCAGCAGCTCCTACTGGGATGCACTGGTGACTCGTTGCTCTCTGGAACTTAAAAGTTGACTTCGGTTCAATACAAATTTTAAAGTTGATTCAGCTATCAGTTATCAGTTATCGTCCTTGGGATAAGAGCATTCACCGATGTCAAGCTGCCGTCTGTAACGTCATTGCCGCAGAAGTCGTCCCCATCGGAGCCCATCCATCACTTCGCCACGGTAAGAGCGAAATTCGAGGACCTAGCCATTAGCAACGCCTGACTAAGACCAATGCGCATGTACAATCGTATTTAAGCTCAACTGACAGTTCTAGGTGAGGAATGAGGCAGTGTATGGTAAATGCTGGTGTTTTAAGGTCACAATTTAAGTGGGCTAAGTGGGTAATAATTTAACGTCAACTCCCCGAGTCCGGTGATGCCACGGTTCCGGCGGCGCGCAGTGTGCACCCCATATTCCAGTCGGCGTCGGTCATAACGACAACAGTGCAGATGGTTACACCCAAC